CTTCCTTCCTTCCTTCCTTCCTTCCTTCCCTTCCTTCCTTCCTTTCTTCCTTCCTTCTTGCTTTCTTATCTTATGCCTTCTTCTTACTCAAGATATTCATATATAACCTTTTATAGAACAAGTAAGATTGGCAGGTGGGAAGGCACCAGGCGAAGGTCGCGTGGAAATCTACCATGATGGCCGATGGGGAACAGTCTGTGATGACGGCTGGGACATTAGGGACGCTAAAGTTGTATGTCGTTCTCTTGGTCAACCAAATGCAACTTACGCAATACAAGGCGCGTTCTTCGGTCGAGGGTCTGGCAAAATATGGCTGGATGACGTTCATTGTCGTGGAACTGAAAGTTCTCTGAGTCAATGTTCACACCGTAGCTGGGGATTTCATAACTGTGGGCACGGAGAAGACGCGAGTGTTGTGTGCGGTGAACCTTCGAGTAAGTATCTTTATAACACTGGGAGATTAACACGGGTCAAATGTCGAAAAGCATTTGTCTAATGTCGAACAGGATAAAAAACGAATAGCACAGGACAAGTGTTGAACAGGATAAAAACGAATAGCACGAGTCAAATGTCCAACAGTGAAAAAACGAATAGGACAGGCCAAATATCGAATAGAAAAAAACAATTGCACGGACCAACCTTTGGGAAAACTAACCATTGTTTGGGTGGACATCAAAGCATAGCCGGGATCATATATGGATGATGATAAACTGTAATTCTTTATTTTTATTATAGTTGTCAAGATAAACATCACAGATCTGTCAGGAGTGATCACAAGCCCTGGATATCCTCAGTACATGCGGAGAGCAAACTACGAGTGGACACTCAGACCTCCAGTACCAAATACACTTGTGTTGATTAGCTTCAAAGAGTTCGACTTAAGGCGCCATGATAGAGGGTAGGTGTGTGTATGTACGTATGCTTGGACAAGAAACCGACACGGTTACGGCACGGCGCAACCTCGTTTCAATCGGCCATTCGTAATTCGAGGGTGGTCCCTTGGAACGAACTTGAGTGCTGCATGGTCTATTAACAACGAAATACCTGGAAACTAACCATTTTCTCTACATCTTGCCCGTAATATTATTGCATTTCGGACCACGTGTTATTCCATATGTCATCATCTAACGGTTGCTAACCAATATTCCGAAAATTCGAATAGTTCAGATTAAAAATGGAATAAATACAAAATTCGAATAGTTCAGATTAAAAATGGAATAACTACAATTTTCGAATAGTTCAGGTTAAAAATCAAATAACTACAAAATTCGAATAATTCAGGTGAAAAATCGAATAATGAGAAAATTCGAATAGTTCAGATTAAAAATAGAATAACTACAAATTTCGAATAGTTCAGGTTAAAAATCAAATAACTAATAAATGACTAAAAAACTACAAATAACTGAGAAAATTCGAATAGTTCAGGTTAAAAGCGAATCGATTAGTTCCATTGAAATTGTTCGTCTTTTACTGATTCTGGTAATCAAATTACACCACACTATACATAATGAATAATTATCGTCCTATTATGTTGAAGACAACTCCCTTTAAATAGGAAACTACATTATTTTTGACGCAAATTCGATTTTCTTTGCAGGAAAAGTAAGGTCACTATCGAAGACTCAAATCATGTTCAACTATTCCAAAGCGAGAACGCCAATTTTGGCCAGTTTGCTGTTCGGATGTCTAACAGTCCAGGGACTCTACGTTTCTATTCTTCGTTTTCCAGACTGAACGGAGGCGGAAAAGGGTTTCGTTTGAATTACTTGTTCATTGGTCAAGGTAATTCCTAATTGATGCGCGCGTTTACTTCATTTTGAAATCATATTTCATGCATTATAAAAGTCATACTCGCCATTGTTGAATCATATAAAAAAATTTCCTCGTTTTTTTCCCTTGTTAATCTGCGCCAATCGTCAATCGGCCATGTATATATATTGCCATTTACATTGTCTTTCAATTTGTTGCTGCCCCATAAGTGTTATCACCATCGTTCTCATCATCATTTTTATCATCATCACCGATGTAATTATTTTCAAGATTCATCGTTATTGTCGTCGTCATCAATTGTTTATCAACATAAGGCATTATGGATTTCATAATCGTCGTTACCTTTATCGTCATCATCATTATTTTTATCATCATTATCGTCCTCCTCCTCTTTATTATTATCATCGTTGTCATCATCATTAGGCAAGATTGATTTTCATTATCATCGTCGTCATCATCGTCGTCATCATCAGCATCATCGTCTCCATCGTCGCCATCGTCATTATTGCCATAATCGTCATTATCGTCATCATCATCATTATCATCATTATCACCATCGTCGTCGTCATCATCATCGTCATCATTTTCATCATTGTCATTATCGTCGTCATCATCATCATCGTCGTCGTCATCATTTTCATCATTGTCATCATTGTCGTCATCATCATCATCGTCGTAGTCATCATTTTCATCATTGTCATCA